TCTTATCTTATTGCCAGTTTCAATAGGGTCAGTTAGTTGATTTAAACTTTTACTTTTATTGTGTTGTTTTATTGTTAAGTGGATAAGATCCTTGAATTTAATACTATCAAAGACTCTCCACGAAACAAAGATGGTTTGTTGTATTCTAATGATTTGTTCGTTTGGTGTTCTGTCCTCTCCTGGCGATTTTTGTTTTTTAATATCCTTAATGCTTCCTGTGCCTCGTTCTGCTCAATATCTATTTCTTCTTTTACCGAATCTTTATTATTTATGGTTCAATATCATCACCCTTAATAAATAGAGATTGAAAGTAGTTTGTTTTTATTTCCTTCTGAATGTTTTATTTTTATTATTCTGGTCATTTTTTTTTCTTTGCCTTCTAATTATTCTCCTTATTTATTTTTTATGTTCCGTAGAAGTCGTGTTCCATCTGTTCTGAGAAGTTTTGCCAGTGTTCCCTTTTATTTGTCTAACTAAAGTATTCGTCACATTTCTGCTTCATTTATGAAGGTTGTATACCTATTGTGTTTGATATATTTTGTATTAAAATAAGACTTTCTTCTTCTCTTTACGTTTTGTCTTCACTTGCTCTCTAAACCGTAGGGTTTAATTATATGTTAGTGTTTGTTACTTTTCTTTTTCCAAGTGATTCTATTGCTGCATTAATTATGCGACTGTTGAGTTTTTTGCAGCTTTTCTCGATGTTATCGTTTTTTAACTCCTCTGATATTCTTTACCCAACTGCAAACAGTGTATTTATATCGATATAGTACAAGTAGATAAATTCTTTATATAACGTTGGATTGGATCAGGACTTAGTGCTTAGTATTGTTAGTATATGTATTATGTATCAGTAACTATATTTAAATCTGAATGTATCTAGTAAATTTTAATATCCTAATAATTTGTGCTTTAACAAAAAAAATATGTTTGGGTTAAAAGTGATTACAAGCGAATCTTTGCTGAAGTCAAAACCTTGTGGGAAGCAGATTGCAGCTCCGACCAATTATTAATAAAAATAATCTTGCATTCAAAAAGTAAAATGGAGATAGTAATTACCGATATTAAGAGTTATTTATGTACCAAGGGTATTAATAAGATGTTTATGCCCAGTGGGCGATGATGCGATGTTACCAACCTTCCGAGTTCTAACTCTTCCGAGGGCATATACATATATTAATACCCGTGGTGAATACAAACTTTTATGTCATGCTAGTTCGTTATTGCATCTACAAATAAATATGTTCTAAAAAATCCAAAAAATCGATTTCATTTTGACAATATATTTACTAGTAGATATTCTATCGTCCGTGTTACGTTGCTACGTCCGTAAAAATCTTTTCTTTATTGTATATGGCTTTAATTATGAACATAAATGTTCCCTAATTTAATTTGTGAGTCGGCCCCCTCTTTTTTTCGAAAACACGGAATGTGTACAGTAAGCAACAATGTGCAATTAAACTACATTTAGTGAAATAAAAATTTATTATGTGAAAACTTTATTCGGTATGACAATTCTTAGAACAATTAGAAGTTTTAGTAAAACAAAAAAATATTTTATGCTTTTGGCATTGAACTTTGGGAGTTCCTTTACAATTAGGATATTTGCATCTCCCTTTCTTTTCAAAATATATAGGCCAATGACCCATTCCATTGTTTCTAACCTCTGCGCAGGAAATGGGTGCTGTTGCATGGTATTTCCTTTTCTTTTCCTCATATGATGTGGATACATTTGAACTAGATGGACGCCCTCTTTTAGAACCATTTACTTTATTTTTCATACACAGAGTTTGTGCAATTTCTTCCTTGAGTTCCAATAGCGGTGATTGTTCCTTTTTTTGGTATTTTTAAAGCAGTGTAGTCTCTTCTATACAAAATCTATGCTTGAACAACCATAATGTCAATAAAGTAATAAAAGAATTTGTGGTACCACTTTTTCGACCTAATTGATATTCTGTATGGAGCAAATCAACGCCTCCCATACTCTTATTGTATACAAGGATAGATGATGGACAATCAATTTCAATATATATTGCTTAGATATACGATCCCACCTCATTTTTTTGCCACATGTATTAGCTCCTACGTATGAGCTTAGAATTGTAACGACTTTATTGTCATACCACTTCTTAACAGTCGGAGAAGTACCATTAATAATAGTTTTCTGTTCCAGAAATGATCCACGCCCTAGTTTTTTCATGTTTTTGTCCTATATCAAATCACAACTAGCGAGTCTATTTTGCCTTATAGTCCCTACACATTGTATACCATTTTTTGCTAATTCTAATTGCAATATTGTTCTGAAGCTATTTTCTTGTAATATTGTAAATTAATTACTATTTAACAGGGAATAAGCCACTATTAAAGATAAAAATACGTTTATTGACGTTTCAATTTCCACTTCGGAAATCGTTCTCAAAATAAAAACAGCAAATTAAACAGATTTTGTTTTTTGTTACATAGTGAAAAATTCTTCTAATAATTTAATTTTATGTGACTCATTTATATTGACAATTCAGACATACATTATGCATTTTAAAGTAGACGACTTTAAAATGATATTGCCAATATTGTTGAGTTGCGCTCCTGGGACGACTTTACTTATAAGATAGTTCATTCCATTACATGAAATCAACTTTAACTTAAGAATATCCGTCAGAAAAAAATCATAGCATGTAATTCGTCTTTAAAAAGACAAACACATGACATGATGGCAGTAAAATTCTCCTGTTAGTGATTCCATAGTAAATTATGAGGGAAAAACCAGGAAAAAAACCTCATAATACTATCTCGACATTGTAAATATTTGTTCGTGAATTTAGTTTACCTTCAACAAACATCAAAATTCTGATTTTATATGTTACGTAATATAAAAAACATAACTGATGTATCCTCTATATGTTACTGACTTACTAATACTGGAATTTTCTTATTAATAACTTCCTCTTTCAATATTGGTAATCAGATCCTACTACATTCTGCCGAGGAATTTGCGACACAATTGGCCTCATTTAACTTAATTAGAGCCGCTTCTTTGATTTAACTTTTTTTATCATCCGTTTCTTTTAGGACTACATTTAAATTATTCCATTGAACCGTATGTTCATTATCCCATGCGTGTTTACATATTTGAGATCTATCTAATTGCAAGTTATTACTATTAAACCAATTGTCAAAGTACAATTTGTGATTCTGGTGTTTTGGGATAATCTTTGATAACCTGAGGACTACATTACCAGCTGAACCAATATCGGTTATAGTATGAGGTTCTTTTCCAGTATGTATTTCTAATTTATGCATCAAACCAGAAGTATCAGATAAAACAAAAATTTTGTTCCCCCACTTTTTCGGTTTTTTGGGTTATACTGTTTTAGACTGTTTCTTCCTTTGAAAGGAATAATTTGTACATCTATTGACAAGAACTCTTTAAGGGAAATTGTAGAACATACTTCATTCACTTTAGTAATCAATGGTCTTATTTTGTATAATTTGTCATATTCTGGAGACTCTTTAGATGGTTGTTTAGTATTGTCGCTTGTACGTAATTTTTGTTTAGGCATCAACTTGATTCACAGACATTACATCGGCTACTTGGGTATTCCTCGTTTTTGGATTCCAAAACGTTCCTTGTCGTGGTAGTTTATATATAAACATGTATATACCAATAAATTGTTCAATTTCATTTTTTGTTACACCAAGTGGCTTATTTGGACTTTGTTGAACACTACATAAATTTGACTGCTGTATTAGAGTTCCAATCAACTTGTCTTTAAAAAAATTAATAAAGTATTGTATTGGTTGTTTTATTTCGTGTGACATAGGTATATTACCTTTTCACTTGGAAATAGGTAATGAAATTGTTGTTTTGCAAACCTTCCATTGGTAGGCTACTTTTATTTTTTTGGCTTTAGGTTTAAAAGAATCATCCACCTCATCATCAGATGTCTTATCAGAGACAATATCATCATCCTCGTGAGTATTTTTTTCCTAAGATAATGGCGATGTTAGAAATATCACTCATGAGATGAGTCCAAAATATTTACTTACAGATGCATAAATATTGTCAGACGGTAAATAACAGGGATCAATATCATCATCCTCTTGAGTATTTTCTTCCTAAAATATGGGGATGTTAGAAATGTCACTCATGAGTTGAGTCTAAAATATTTACTTACAGATGCATCAATATTGATAGAAGGTAAATAACAGGAATCATCAATAACAGCGTTATTATCCTCTAATTCGCTCTCATCAGAATCATCTGGCACTGTTCTTATAATAACATTTGCATTTCTGCTACTTCGATTTCCATAGAATCGATTTGCACTAACTTCAGATAGTTCCATAACTCAATTTTATAAAATTGCTTCAAAGCAATACCTGTTTAGAACTTGATTTGTGATTCTTATTTTATATTTAAAATTATAAAATTACTAGGAATTACTTCCCTCACATAAGCTAATTACATAAACTAACCAATTTTACGGTTAAAAGTAGTGTACAACAAGAAAACAAGTTGAAAGATCTTCTACCTTTCGCTTATAAGAGGACTGGCAACGCCTGAGAACTTTAGGGGCAAAAACTTGAATTGACGTAATGACGTAGGAGTTTGCGCGATTACTTAGATAGAATGTGTCTTTCAGTACGCAATATACAGTTTTAATTCACTTAATAAATTAAAGGTTAGTTTTCTAATGGAAATTAATTCCGGTGTTGCCTTAAAGCTACGGTATGCAATATAGGGTTAACTCGCAGTTTATACTCAAGAACATCTGTTCGAGAGTTCCAGCACTTTAGCAGCACTTTAACACTTTAGCACTTTAACAGCAAGTTACAAATGCCCAATCAGCACTTTGACACTATATTCTAAAAAAATACAGATAAAAAAGTTTGAGAACTACATCGATAATGTGCTTCATATGTATTCTAAAATTACTCCGGGTCATAATTAGAGCGTTGTGACTCATAACAATAATATGGTATTACAATTTTTTTTTCAGGAATTGCCTCATCAATGTTTTTTGTATGGGGACTTCTGTTATGTGGAGCTCCATGCGGTTGTGGAATAACGTCTAAAACGGTGTCCTTTTTATTTGCAGGTAAGTCTTATTCTTAAGTATACAATCTATATAGATATTTACATAGATAATATGAACTTAACCACAAAAGTTTTACACCACCAAAAAAATACTGATTTTGATACTTCATTTTCTCGTGAACGGACTAACGGATTCCGCTATTTTTTTATTATTTTAGATATTTTCTTTGGTCTTTACAATATTGGGCAAAGGCTTACGTATAATTTTCTTTTATGCTTATACTAAGTAAAAGAAAAAAACGGGTGTGGCAGTCCAGTGGGACTGCCAGTAGAAGTTATACTTCTATACACGCGTTCGCCGTTACAAATTTATATGAGAGTCAATCTGCGTAATCATTACACATGTAATGCTATAGGTAAGAGAGCAGAAAGAGAAACATAATTAAGTATATAGGTATATGATGCATCGTTTGCTGTATATAAACAACATTTGACCTGTAATAAAAGTATAGTAAATAAAGGATTAAATCAATATTTTGATGAAAATGTATATTTTTATTTTTATATATGCATGAAAGGAGTTAAATGCGAAAAAAAAGTTTACATATACTCTGCAGTAAAATTCATTATTTATTTTGTTATTAATACAAAAATATACTACAATACACTGCAACATAATTCAATACAATACAAATTAAAATGCAATATTCATAAGTATTTAAAAATGACAATATACGTAATTTATTTACGCATATGTTTAATTGGCCATGGTAATAATTTTAATAAAATATTAATATTGTTTTATGATACAACTGTCAATTTGCCTAATATTGACAGCTACAAAATTTAATTGTTGTTGGTTGTGTATATAAGTATCCATTTGAACTTTTTTGAGATATTTACAAGCTTCAATTTATAATTTAACATGCCTAACGAGGCTCAAGACAAATCTAAACAGAACGGAAGAGTAATAATAATAGTAATAAATATTAAATATTTTACAAAAGGAACATTGTTGTTTTCGAGAGAGAAAGAGAGAGAAAATACATCATCTGTCTCTCTCTTACCTATATCTTACATATGTAATGATTTTGCTGATTCATTCCCGTACAAAGTTCCAACGTTGAACGCGCGTATGAAATTATAACTTTAAAAACAAGTTTTTTCATTTTGTTTATTAAATGAAAAAAAACGCAATGTTCGAAAAACATGAGTGTACATAATTTTTATGTAAGCCCACCCTTGTACCTTTTCATTTTTACTCTCAGACTTAACATAAGAAAACCATTTCTTTCCATCCACCTGGTATAAGCCCTAAAGGGAAGTTTAGGTAAATCTTAACCCGACAGTGCAAATACCAAAGAAATAATAATAAAAAAAATATCGGAACCCGTTAAATCGTTCACTAGAAATCTATTACCAAATTAGTGTATTTTTGGTTGTAAAAAACTTTTACGATTAGTTACTATTAAACTGGGAATAAGCCACAATTAACGATAAAAATACGTTTATTGACGTTTCAATTTCCACTTCGGAAATCGTTTTTAAAATACAAACAGTAAATTAAACAAATTTTGTTTTTTGTTACATAGTGAAAAATTCTTCTAATAATTTAATTTTATCTGACTCATTTATATTGACAATTCAGGCATACATTATGCATTTTAAAGTAGACGACTTTAAAATAATATTGCCAATATTGTTGAGTTGCGCTCCTGGGACGACTTTACCTATAAGATAGTTCATTCGATTATATGAAATCAACTTTAACTTGAGAATATCCGTCAGAAAAAAATCATAGCATGTAATTCGTCTTTAAAACGACAAACATATGACATGATGACAGTAAAATTCTCCTGATAGTGTTCCATAGTAAATTATGAGAGAAAAACCAGGAAAAAACCTCATAATACTATCCCGACATTGTAAGTATTTGTACCTGAATTTAGTTTACCTTCAACAAACATCAAAATTCTGATTTTATGTTACGTTATTTAAAAAACATAAATGATGTATCCTCTATATGTTACTGACTTACTCTAATACTGGTATTTTCTTATTAATAACTTCCTCTTTCAATATTGGTAACCAGATCCTACTACATTCTGCCGAGGAATTTGCGACACAATTGGTTTCATTTAGCATGATTAGAGCCGCTTCTTTGATTTTTCTTTTTTACCATCCGGTTCTTTTAGGACTGCATTTGAATTATTCCGTTAAAACCAAATGTAAACACGCATGGGATAATGAACATAGGGTTTAATGGAATAATTCAAATGTAGTCCTAAAAGAACCGGATGGCAAAAAAAGAAAAATCAAAGAAGCGGCTCTAATTATGCTAAATGAAGCCAATTGTGTCGCAAATTCCTCGGCAGAATGTAGTAGGATCTGGTTACCAATATTGAAAGAGGAAGTTATTAATAAGAAAATACCAGTATTAGTAAGTCAGTAACATAGAGGATACATCATTTATGTTTTTTAAATAACGTAACATATAAAATCAGAATTTTGATGTTTGTTGAAGGTAAACTAAATTCAGGAACAAATACTTACAATGTCGGGATGAGGTTTTTTCCTGGTTTTTCTCTCATAATTTACTATGGAACACTATCAGGAGAATTTTACTGTCATCATGTCATATGTTTGTCTTTTTAAAGACGAATTACATGCTATGATTTTTTTCTGACGGATATTCTCAAGTTAAAGTTGATTTCATGTAATCGAATGAACTATCTTATAAGTAAAGTCGTCCTAGAAGCGCAAGTCAACAATATTGATAATATCATTTTAAAGTCGTCTACTTTAAAATGCATAATGTATGTCTGAATTGTCAATATAAATGAACCAGATAAAATTAAATTATTAGAAGAATTTTTCACTATGTAACAAAAAACAAAATTTGTTTAATTTACTGTTTGTATTTTGAGAACGATTTCCGAAGTGGAAATTGAAACGTCAATAGACGTATTTTTATCTTTAATTGTGGCTTATTCCCAGTTTAATAGTAATTAATTCACAATGCCACAAGAAAATAGCTTCAGAACAATATTTTACGATTAGGTTTACACATATTTCTAACGTAGGCATACTATATATTAATATGTAATTTTTTTTTTACATCGGTAAATCATTTTTACTTTATTTCATCAAACCCTGAATTAATGTTTTGTTAAACTGGTGGTTTTTTACCAGGTTTAGTTTAGGAAAAATACAAATAAGCAGCAAAACCTATTAAATTATATTTCTTAATCGAATATATGACATTACAGAGTATGACCTTATTGTAAAACTAGGTCAAAATATCTACTATAAAAATATTATAACATTTACTTATTATGAAATATGGCAATGCATTCACTGCGTACGTTCTACAGATCAGCACTCTTCTCCTGCTCACCGCCAGTTGTCTTTTGTTAGGATAAGGTATAATGAGATGGTTAATACCATCGTACCTAATGTTGTCAGAGATTTTGTTAAAATATAGACTATTTCTACTTGTTGTTGACCTACCCGGTCTAATGGGAATTTGTTAGTTGCTATTTCACGTCGAAAATTCAAATTATTTGTCGGTCTTCTTGAACACTTATAAACTATCCACGAAATTTGTACTGCAGCATTAATTAACCATATAAGTATAGACCAATACAATTTCTTACTACGAGTACTCATACACTATCTTGTTAAATCCTCATCCATTCTAGCAGTGTCTCCCACAAACTTGTTATACATTCCAACAACATGTGGGCAAGGAACTTTTTTTTTCAGAATATGGACAACGTTTGACTTGTTGAATAGAATGCACGCTATATGAAGTTGACGCCATTGGTACGACGGCGTTATCCATCCATTTTGTTAACATAATACCATGATTATCGTCAATTTTTGAAACCAAATAGCCTTGAGTTTGTGTGGCCATGTTTTTTTATCGGCAAGTGGAACATCTTGTGGTATTCTGTTCTTTCTTATTGTTCCTGTGACACCATATTATTTTTCTTTTAAATACACCATTAAATTGAATCCAGTAAAAAGTTTATCGACATAGATTTGGTAAGGCAGCTTTTGTTGTGGCAAAGTGTTCAACATTGAGATAAGGGAAGCGGCTGCCTTTCCAAATGCGAGTTTATAAAAATCTTTCGAATTTGTACTTTTTCCTTGATAAAACCTAAAATTTACAAGGTAACTAGTTTCTGAGCTAAGCCACCATACTTTATAACCAAATCCGATGGGTTTTCCCTATTGAATTGTTTACAATTATGGCGACCATTATATTTCACCATCGACATCATAATTCATATTTTCAGTTGTTTGATAATATTTGAGAGAATAATTTTTTGATTACTGGTTTTAATTTTCACATTTTATCATTTAAATCCATTTGCGTATTATCAGCACAGTGCATGAAACGCATTATTTGGATAAACCTGTCGCGACGCATTGCATCCTTCACAATTTTATTGGAAATGTCTGCGCGATTGTCCCAATGCAACGTGTTTTCAGGAAGACAGATGTATCCAAATACCCAAAAAACATTTGAGCTCGTCCAAGGTTATCTTTTGATCAGGACAATTCACAAAAGGAGCGTATTTTCCGGTTTCGTCTAAAATATTTCCTAGCATTTTGTTATCGAAAAACAACTCATGTAACGGCTAAATCTTATTAAGACCAGGGCGTTAAGCAACACCTTACTACTGGAACAAACGAGGGGAGAGATTCTTCAAATATCTTTTTCTTCTTCATGTGCCTTGTCCGTTCCGAATGTTGGCAATCAACATGGCTATTCTGTCTTTGTTTACGGCAGATCTGAATAGTTCAGCAGATGACAATCCGAACCATTCCGCAAGTTTTGGAGCTACGAGTGTCTTATCCTCCCTAGAACCCTTCTGCTGTCTATTTTCCCATGAACGATCAGCTGTAGTACTCTATATTTATTATGTCTCATAACGTGACCCAAGTATTCCAACTTTTTTTTCTTTATACTTATTCCTACCTCTCTCTCTTTACCTATCCGGCGTCGTACCTCTTCGTTGGTCACGTGCTAAGTCCAGGATATACGTAATATACGTCGGTAAGCCCATATTTCGAAGGCCTCTACTTTTTTCATCAATGTTGCGGTCATTGTCTACGCCTCCATTCCATATAACAAAACCGGGAATACATACCATTTCAGAAGTCGAATTTTGAGAGGTAGGGTGAGGCTTTTAGAGGTGAAAATTTGCTTTATGTTAGTGAACGATGCTCTTGCCTTTTCTACTCTTATACGTATTCCCTTCGCTTGATCTCAATTTGAGTTAACTGTTGTTCTCAAGTAGATGTACAAATCCACGTGTTTAATTCTTTCATTGTCTAATATCAGTTGCTGTGGTGGTTGCTGGGTTTTGCTTACTAACATCCATTTGGTTTTTGTGATATTTAGTCAGAGTCCTTATTGTGCACTTGTTTTTTGTATTTTACTCTTTAGGCAACTCAGTTCCTCCATACTACTTGCTAAAATCACAGTGTCATCAGCATACTTTATGTTATTAATTATTTCTCTATTTATCTTTATGCCTTCTGTGATTTCCTCCAGCGCTGTCTTAAATACTTCTTCTGAGTATATACTAAAGAGAATAGGAGAAAAGATACAGCCCTGTCGTGCCCCTTTCTTGATCTCAATTTTATTGGTCAATGTAGATCCTACTTTCACTTTAGCTGTTTGACCCCAATAGAGACTTGCTATTATTCGAATGTCTCTGTACTCGACTCCGATCTTATGGAGAAGTTCAATTATCTTTTCGTGCTTTACGTTATCGAATGCTTTTGCGTAGTCTATAAATCATATGTACACGTCTTTGTTCATATCTCTGCAGAGCTGGATGAGTACCTGTAGACTAAAAAGTGCTTCTTTTGTCCCAAGAGAATTCCGAAACGGAGCTACTAAAAGAAGGAGAAGACGCATTACTTAAAGCCATACATGAGCTGATAAGAAAGATATGGTTGAATAAACAGCTACCAAAGGAGTGGAATAGTGGCATTATTGTACCACTACATAAAAAAGGAAACCAGTTAGAATGTGAAAACTACCGTGGAATCACGCTGTTGAATGCGGCATACAAAATAATGTCCAACGTAATGTATGAAAGACTTAGACCATACGCTGAAAAAATAGTTGGCAAATACCAATGTGGCTTCTGTAGACAGAAGTCAACAATAGACCAGATATTTGTTCTGCGACAGATCCTTGAAAAAAAAAGTGAATATAACATCGACACACATCATCTCTTCATAGACTTCGAAAGCGCATATGACAATATAAACCGAGAATTCCTAACAAAAGCAATAAAAGAATTTAATATACCAACACAGCTAATAGAATTGATAAAAGAAACACTAAAAGTAGAAAGTAAAATCCGGATACAAAACGAATTAACGGAAACAATAGATGTGAAGAAGGGACTACGCCAGGGAGACGCTCTATCATGCATATTATTCAACATCGTACTTGAAAAATAATAAGAGACACAACAGTTAATACCCGAGGAACAATAATTAATAAAAGCGTGCAAGTACTAGCATTTGCAGATGATGTTGACATAATCGCAAGATCAAGAAGAGAAATGATAGAGGCATTCACTCAAATAGAACGAGCTGCAAAAAATAGTGGTCTTAAAATCAATCAGACAAAAACAAAATATATGCCTGCAAATAAAAACGCACAAATAAGGCAGCTGCCAAATTTAACAATAGGAGAATACAACATTGAGGCGGTAAAAAACTTTACATACTTAGGATCCCTAGTTACGTCTGATAACAACGTTGCAGAGGAAGTGAAGAGGAGAATATTTATTGCCAATAAATGTTACCATGGCTTAATTAGGCAACTAAGATCAGATAACGTCTCCAGAAAAACAAAACGCCAAATATACAAAACCTTAATAAGACCGGTACTCACATACGGTTCAGAAACCTGGACACTCTATAAAAGGGAGGAAACGTTATTAGCCACCTTTGAAAGAAAAATCTTGCGACGCATATATAAGGGCACAAAAGAAAACGGGATTTGGCGAAGAAGGTATAACTTTGAACTATACAACATATACCAGGATCCGAAAATCATAACATTCATTAAAATAGGAAGGCTACGTTGGATTGGACATGTGGGAAGAATGGAAGAAGGCGAAATACCAAACAAAATATTTAAACAAGTGCCAGTAGGAAAAAGAACAAGAGAAAGATCGAAGCTGAGATACGTAGAACAAATAGAAAATGATATAACAACATTAAAAATTAAAAACTGGAAAAAAAAGCACAAAACAGGTCAGAATGGAGAAGAACCTTTAAACAGGCCAAGACCCAAAAAGGGTTGTCGAGCCAGTGATGATGATGATATTTATTTATTAAATAAAAAATAAATAGAATTCAAATTATGAATGTTAAACAAAAATAAATTTTTAAACTGAGACTCAAAGATTTCGCCGGTTGCCGGTATAAAATAACTGAAGTATATAAAAGTATTCAGCTTTAGTTCGTTCTGAAGGAGTCCTTGAGTTCTCCAGGAAGGGTTCTGATCTTTGTGAAAGTTAGTCGCTGTCGTTGGTTGTTGGTTGAGTTAAGGGGAGTTGTTGATATAAATAATTGCAATCATTTTCGTCCCATATTGGTAAATGAGTTTCAAATTCTGTTCTGATGCATCAGTGGATTTGTAGATGGTTGATGATTGTTGCCCAAGGTATTGTGGTTGGCTGATTTCTTGCTCCCCACGGTAGTGTGATTGTTTATTTTTTGCTTCCCAGTAGTGAGGTTGTCTATTTCTTGCTCCTCACGGTCGTGTGGTTGTCTGTTTCTTGCTCCCCACGGTAGTGGGCGTGTATACGGCTAAGACATTAAACAATTTGTGTGACTAAAAATTCATTAAGAATGATTGTAGTGATAAGATTGAATAGCACAAATAACAATTCGTATTGGCTTATATAGAGTGGAACGTCTACTAAAAATATTTATGTAATCAATCTTTTATTAGCCTTGTGTGACCATTTGGTAACAGTGTGATTCTGTCTTATGTGAATTTTATATTAATGGGTGAGGTTGCCTGTGATATTTTTTATATTATAGCCTACTTCCTTAACTATACCAATAATTATGTAAATCGCTGGAAAGTCTTAACAGTATACCAATAAAACTACTTACTCAAATCTCGGTTCCATAATTTGCATATTCGTTAATGCGCATGAATTCACAAAGGTCCACTATTATTTCCTTCCAAACTGTTGAATGTAATACAGATAGATTTTTAGCGTTAAGTTGAGCTACAATCAACATTAACGTCGATGGCGTCTTTGCATAACTAAGTGGTCACACAAGGCGTTGATGGGTTATGATATTGTTAGATAGTTATTCCCTAAAAAAGTAAATGTTATAAAATCTCATAAAGTTACATAGCAAATATAAATTACTTTGTAAAAAATTATGTAGATATTATTTTAAAGTTGATTTCTTTGTAGGTATTGGTGTTTCCTGTCTCGTTGTTATTTTAGTTTGGGCCTTGGGATCTTTTTCTGCATTTGTTGGTGGCCACAGTCAGAGCTTTCTATGTAATTCTCTATACGACGCACCAGATTATAATGTGCTTGGAGAGTTGTTTGACTCCGATGGTGTTATCTTTAAAGAAGGATTATTTTCGGACTTTACTAGTAAAGAAAATGATACCATACCTGTAGCAGACGTTATTAAGTAAGTATTTTTTTTACAATATTAGTGTTACCTTGTTTACATTATTAATTAGTAATTAATAACTTAAAAGTGTACACAAATACAAAAAGTCTAAGTTTAAAAATAGTTATGCAGAATTTATTATTAAAGTAAGAATATTCATAAACTAGATCCTTTGCCGAAACTGCTTAAAATGCTTTAAAGACTAAGTACACCATCAATGGTAAATCAATGTAGCAACTAAGATATAACTAACAAAAATTATAAAAATTATAACCCAATTTTATTAACATAACCTAAAATAAATCAAATTATTAAATGCTGTGAGTTCGTCGTTCTTACTAGGATTACTCCTGTTTGTCTGTCTCTTATTCTATTTTAGTCGTTTTTGTACTGTACATTATCTTTCCACCTTTTTGGCGGCCTTCCAACGGGTCTTCTGCTATACGGCTTGTTGTTTTTACAGATGTTCGCTAACCTAACTGGTCCCATTCGGTTTACATGTTCGTTCCAGTTTTTTTTTTCTTGTTTTTATCCATCTGTTAATATTTTGAATTGCGCATTGTTCGCGTATACTCTATTGGTTTGTCTGTCTCTTAATAATATGCCTGCTATTGATCTTAATACTTTCATTTCGATATTGTTGATTTGTTGTTTCGTCTTTTTTGTATCGGTCCTTGTCTCCGCTGCATATGTTAGGATTGGTCTTACTGTCGTTTTGTATACTTTCATTTTGCTTTCCGTGGTCATATATTTGTTTCTCCATATGGTTTCTCGGAGGCAACCACTTACTCTTGCCGCTTTTGATGCTTGCCTTGTGGTCTCTGTTTTTATATCCCTGTCACTAGTGACCTCCACTCCTAGGTAATTGAATTTGATTACTTGTTCTACCATTTTGTCGTCTATTTCTAGTTTGCATTTACGCGGCTCTCTACTGATCATTATATAGTACGTCTAGAAAGTATCCGGAATTTAGATTTTTTTTTTAATTTTAATAGATTTCCTTTTTGTAACATTTTAAGATAAAAGTAATGCATCAAGTAGGTTTTGCCGATAGTAGGTTATGGACTAAATCTCATGACTGCTGGTTGTATAAGTAAATGAGATGAATTATTTGTTGAAATTTTATATTTCAAGTGATAGAAATAAATTCCGTAAAATTATAATTCTGCTTTCTTTTTTCCGGATACTTTCTAGGCGGACTATACATTTAGTTTTTTCTACTAAAATTCTCATATTTAGTTTGTTTGCTGTAATATTGAAGGTGTGGTTGCCTTTGTAGGTCATCTTCGTTATCAGCAATTAGTATTGCATCATCCGCATAGCTTTTCCAAACTGCTCCATTTTTGCCTATAAAAGTAGCAATCCGTGAAACTTTTGCTGCTATTACATCCACTTCGCAATCATTGCCATCACCCTCTTGTTCGGTATTTGAATCTGAAAGATGTTCTTTTTATGTTTACTTCATCCTCTGATTCAATGTCATCAAAATGTTGTTTTGTGTCAGTTTCTACTTTCTCAAGCAACTAAAGTAGATACCTTCTCTCTTTTTCATAACTTATTGTGCTAAAAATAATAAATTTGACTAAGCAAAATATAAAATATTACATGTTTACATGATAGAATACATAATACCAGCAAATTACTCACTACTTTTAAAATAAATTCCAGGAAACGACAATAAAATTAGTCACTTGAGTCACTTAAGTGGTGGCGGCAAGTCTAATGAACCCAAAAAGGCTATAACAATAAAGATAAAAATCTGGCAAAAGTACTCGCTATACAGTCTATGCAATAATAAATATTACTAAGGTATTTACCAAGAGCATGAAGTTCTAGCACGACGAATTAGGAATAGTATGGACAAGTCAAGCAAAGTTCCGCTTAAATGTACGGACTCAAAGATAACAGAAGGCTTTACTTTGTTTCGTCATCATAGCTAACCGTACGTTTTTTACGCCCTTTAAGAAAAAAAAAAATAAAATTGGCATACAGACACCCGTCACTTATCCAGATAGTGTTGGGTTCATAATACCCTAATAAAGTTGTGCCAGAACAAGATTCACCGGGGGCTATACCTTTGGCATTTTATCCCGTCACCAGTCCGAGACGGTCTGCGTTCAATTAAAAACCCCTTCTTTAATGTCATTCCAGACATCAGGATAAAAGAGTTAAGGTAACACTTCTTCTTCTCTTTTCGATGCCCTGCTACGTCCCGATTTTCAATCTTTTTCCCATATGTTTATCGAGAAATCCACACCCAGACGAACAACCAGACTTTTAACCTCTATTCCGGTCTGCTCTTTTTGTGAAGAGAGCAGCTCTTTACGGAAGCAGCCATGGCCTGTGAGCATTTGCGTTAGGTAATAATCCAGCTACCTATGCCCACAGTCCACCTTCGTCCACTGTGTAGCTTAACACTCCTGCTGTCACTGGTCAATTGAAATTAATTTCTCGGCCAGCCTAAGCTTACGTACCTCTTACTTTCCAATGTTCCTCCCCCTTAACTATGAATCGTAGCCCTTTCACCTGTCAGCATATCTAAGGGAACACAGCCAGTGTTTACCCACAGAGCGACAGCTGACTGTACTTTCGCACTTTATCTATAGCTACTCTGAAGAGCTCTACTGAGCAATTAATATATTATTTCCAAAGGTTTCTTAACCAAGAAATCCTCATTTAGCTTACATTTCTTTTACCTTTGATTATTTATTCCTTGCATGATAAGTTTTTCTAATATTATTGCTTCGGTAATCCAACTTTTACATTTTAATTGGTTTAATGACCTTGCGTGCTTTTTGTAGTCGTCTTACACGTCGGCATTACTGATGCTTTGAATCCACGTTATTTTGAGCGTCTGCCTATAGCACCACATCTTAAATGTTTTTTACTTCTTTATTTGTTATATCTTTAATATCTAGCTTTTCATTCCATATTAAAAAGTAAAACGTAACATTTTTGAGTTCTTATCCTTAATTTAATATAAGATGACACTTAGTAAAAATGTTTTGCATTGTTACAAAAGCTTGCCTTGCAATTTCATTGCGATTTATTATATCTCTACTTTACTTTCTCATTTTCTTTCCCATATCAAGTTCCTAGCGTTATTTTAGTCAAATATGCAAAAAAAATATTTGTTTAACACATGCGCAGTTTCAGTGCCCTGATATATATATATATATATATATATATATATATATATATATATATATATATATATATTCGTATGAACTTTACACATTGCAGTTTTTTCATAAAGAAAAAAAAAAGACAATAACAATAATAAATAGGTCAGTAAATAAGTAAACACTGACACAGAACATATAAAATTAAAATTATTAAATTAAAGTCAAAGGTTACATCCTCGAAGTAAATTTCTCGCCTTGGGAATAAGTTGGTGGATTTCTTGAAGGCTGCCAAAGAACTTGGTGGCTGGACACTCGAAAACGATGTGGTTAACTATTTGTTTAGCAGCGCTGCATTTCCGAGCTAGCATTTATATTGATTGATTTATTGATTCAGCGATTTGTTACAAATTCCATTACCAACTCGTATTCTATTTAGGTTGCACCATTCACGACGGAGAAGAGAAAAGCCGTCTGGTTTGAGTTTGGAATCAGATTGGAATTTCTGATGTCTGGATTCCATTCGCCCATCCAGTGCTCTTCCGTAGTGAAAACAGCCAATTTTGTAGCAGTTCTAGTAGGTTAATGTTTGTATTTCAGTCTTAACTGCCTTTGGTATAGTTCAGCGATGTCTGTGTTTATCGGTAGTTCTGGGTTTTGTTGGCATTTTTGAACTAGAATGTTGAGTGCGGCTAGTTTTCTTGTCGCTGGTGGAGCGATGTTGCTTAAAACTGGAAGCCATTGGGTTGGTGTGGGTTTTATAGTTCCCGTTATGTGCCTCATTGTTTGATTTAACTGGGTATCTATGACTTTTGTGTGATGACTGTTTAGCCAGACAGGAGCTCAATATTCTTCAGTAGGATATACTAAAGACAGCGCGCTCGTTCTTATTACCTCTGCATTCGACCCCCATGATGTATTTGCTAACTTATGGATAATATTATTGCGGGTCTTAATTTTTGCTGAAGTGTTTTCCAAATGCTTTTTTAATGTTAGGGTACGATCTAGAGTTACGCCGAGATATTTTGGGTTAGCACTCTGCTTTATTCTGGTTCCATCGCATTCTATATTTAGTCTGTAATTTGCCTTGTTGTTGTTTAGATGGAAAACTGTTACTTCAGTTTTAGATGGGTTTGGTTGTAGGCCCCATTTTTTAAAGTATCTGTTAACAGTGTTTAGATCTGCTTCTATGGTGATTTCGGCGATGTTTATTTCTTCTTCTTGGGCCTCCAAAGCTATGTCATCAATATATAATAAAATAAAAGTTAATTTGCATAAACCCTTGTTTTATTTTTCACAATTTATGAACATCCATCATTTGTTAATTATTTTGGAAGTTTGTATTATTTATTGGGCCCAAATTTTATTGTTTAAATGATATTCATAAAGAAGAAAAGCTGGATAATACACCAGTATTGTTTTGATTTTCTAATTAATAAAATATTGAATTTTGGGTATGTCAGACTTGGAGCCAATACTGGTGTTCCGATATAAGGCGCACCAGTGCAGGGTTGAACAAACAAACTTAAAGTGTATGATTTTGAAAAATATTTTATCTTTGAGGCACTCTAAACCTATTAATAGTGGGATCGACCTTATATATATATATATATATATATATATATATATATATATATATATATATATATATATATATATATATATACAGATTGAACGAAATAAATTCGGAGCATAGGAATATAATGTATTTCGGCTCAATTCTGCTGTAGGTGGTTGGCCAACAAAATATTGTCAAATAATTATATTATAAAAATCCAATCCGACAGCGGGCTGCTGGATTCTGAACTCATAAAAATTGAAAGCTACACATAAATCTACGATTTATGCTGTCAAACCAGTTATAGTCCAGGAAATGAAGCATTTCAGCTCGCAATT